TCAATTTCTCAACCAAATAAAAAAGATACGAGGCTGGAGAAATATGATTTGTTGTATACGTAGGAACTGTACAAGCTTGGACCAAGAAGAATCGGAGTTTTTGGAATCCCACCGATCGGGTGCTTGCCAGCTCAGCGAAGCCTAGCAGGTGGCTCGGGGAGAATGTGTGTAGAAGAGTACAACAAAGCTGCAATATTAGTTAATTCTAAGCTCTCACCTACACTCGATTCTCTCACCGCAACGTTGCCTCAATCAAGAATCGTTTACATTGATATTTACAACCCTCTTCTTAATCTCATCCAATACCCTCAAAATTACGGTCAGCCCTACCTCTTCATACATACATATAGATATAGACATAATGCATGTAATAATAAAGATTCAATTTTTAATTTTTTTTACAGGGTTTGAAGTTAGTGACAGAGGTTGCTGTGGGACAGGAAATGTAGAAGTGGTGATACTGTGTAATAGATATAGTGGAACATGTGGAGATGATTCTAAGTACGTATTTTGGGACAGTTATCATCCAACTGAGAAAGCATACAAGGTTCTTGTCGATCAAGTCCTTCTAAAATATCTCGACAAATTCGTGTGACGGCTCATTCAACGTAACTGGCCGACTTCTTCCCGACAATTTATCTTGTCTCGAGACGGGAACTACTGTTTACGAGTGTCTTATTTTTATGTGTTTTTTCATACAATCAAAACATAAGTAGTGCTTGCATTTATATTCATCTTATATTGAGATGGAAATGCAACACACTTTGGTTCATATATATATATATATATATATATATATATATATATATATATATATATATATATATATATATATATACATAATCTCGTTTCACTTGATTTCAATCTCAATTTCGCAGACAGTGCCAATTTTATAAATTCTTGAATTCGAAAAATGTTGGACACTCAGAGTCGATAATTTGATCCTAACGAAATTACATAAACAGCTTCAGCTTCACAAAAAAAAAAAAAAAGAAAAAAAATTACTCTGCTGAATTTGGACAACAATTTCACCCCGAACAATGTAGAACGAAATCTTTATACAACAAAAAAGTTTAATTGCAAACATTTGATTGACACAATTATTCAATCCATTTCCAAAACAACAAACAAAACACTTCAACAGCTAAACGAAAATGCGAGTAAATATGAACACATATCCATAGAGGATCAGAAGCAACCTTAAATGAGATCAAGTCTCCTTCTCTTTCCCGGTTAAGGATGTCTTAAACCAAGGTATCCAGACCGATGTTCGTTTCCGGTAGTTCTTGTACGCCTCAGCCCTGTACTGCTGCTTCAACATCCGTTCCTCGACAAGAATAGTCACGTAGGCCAAGCACAAGCTGTTGACCAATGCTCCGACGAAGCACCACCCACAGCCCAAGTTCCAAGCGAAGATCACCAAACCCCACCACCATAACTGCTCCCCGAAATAGTTCGGATGCCGCGAGTACTGCCATAGCCCTTCGTCGAGATTCGGCACTAAATCTTGGCCAAGCTTCTTCAGCCTTTCGTTTCGAGTGACGAAATTGTGAAGCTGTGTATCGGCAAAGTATGCAATGGTTACTCCGGTCAAGCACACTAGCGATGCCAATAAATCCCATATGTTTAATTGCTTATCTTTCGAGTGGACAACGTAGAGAGGCAAGCATATACCCATCAGAAAAACCTGTAGAAAGATTGTTTTATTATAGAGTTAAGTTCGTTCAGGCAATTCATCGAACAGGTAAACTACAGTGAAGTGATTTTTACCTGCTGAGCAAGGTAGACAGCGAAGAAGGAAATCCACCACCATTTTTGGCCGTACTGTTGGTGCATATCGCTGAATCGCCAGTCTTCTCGAGCACCCCACTGCCATTTTTCTCGACGGAAGTAGCTGTGAGTGAGCCTAATCGACCAAACCCACGTCAGAAGAATCACGAGCCTCGATCTCCAGGAATTGCATTGCGCTAGCGGGTGGGTTGAGAAGTAATGGATCAGCAACAATGGTATCATCGTCCAATACAAATCTATCATCTGAGAATAACACCACATTTTACAGTTGACAATTTTATAAGAAAAAAAATTGATAAGGAAGACCGACGAAAACAAGAAATGCGATAATGAGAGGTGCAGTAAATTACGAACCCAGTGGCTGGATTGGAGGACGCCGATAAGCCAGAAGAGAACGTTGACATTGAGGAAGAAGAGGGTGTTGGCTAAAAGAAGAGGGTGGTGATAGCACCAAGTCCAGAGAGGAGAGAGGGAACCTGCTTCTGCTGCGGCGGAGTAATGGCGGAGGAAGGAGAGATAGAAGAAAATGGAAGGAAGAGGAGCGAGAAGCGCCACCACTGCGTTCCGAAGGTTTTTGCCATGAGTGTTGTTGCTGCTCGACGAAGCCATACCGATGGTGACAGAGACTTAATTATCAGGCCTTGTTTTATAGCCGCTGTTTTGGATCTTGATTAATATTTTTTTAATTTATTATTTATTCTCTTTGGAGTATCAAAACATATTTACTTTTTTATTTTGATTTTTATTAATAAAACTAAATTATAATAAACGTTAAAATACAAATAAACATCACTTTAAGTTTTTAAATCTTTTCGAAAAAAATATATGGTGGTCTTAACTCCCACGTAGCTATAGAGATACTGTAATGTCAACAATCGATCAGTGTGTAAAGTCTATATTGTCCTAAAACGATAGGTTTCAGGGTTTCGAGAGAATTACCAGATCACCCTATTCATTTAGGGGTGACGAAGATCGTACCATTGAGCCGTTTCTTTTTCTTTTTCTCGGAGGTCTGGAGAAAGTTGAAATCAATAGGAATTTCTTAATCCTCCATTTCCGAAAGATAGAGCGTGGAATTATTTTTCCTTTCCGTATGGATCATGAGATTGTTTGGTATAAACAACTCACTTCTTGGTCTTCGACCCCCTCAGTCACTACGAACTCCCCGTCATCAAACCACAAGATTAAATTACTTACCTTTGTGGGTTTTAATGATGCACACTTGAGTGTATAATAGTTGTTAGGGGGAAAAAGGCTAGTAATGTAAATATTAATTAATCATATACCCATATATCATATATGTATATGTATGTGTGATATAATAAAATGCAACACTAGATCAGAACAAAAATTCAAATTGCAACACTTACATTTGGATTATAATAATTTGCAATTGTATTATACAATACAATTGCACATAATTATTAGAATAAGATCACTCGAAAATAAAATGGGATTCTTCAAGTTTGATAAATGATGATGAACTTGCCGGCGCCGTCGAGGTGTGCAAATAATAATAATATTTTCCGGTGAAAGGTAAACGAAGAGTTAAAGCGGCGGGGACCACTGAATTAATTAGTGGTGTGCTTAGTGGGTTAATGATGATAGTTAGTAGTAATAAATGATGAGCTCCACCCCTCTCTATAGCTGGAAAGTTGAAAATTAAAATGAAATCTTCTCACCGTATCTCTTTTTCCGTCCCTACTAAATACCTTTCTCCGCCGGCGAATATTTCCACCGCCGTCTTCGGTGGCGCTAAAGTACTTACTGATATCATACTTTATTCAGGAATCGATTGACTTTTTCCCTAAATAAATAAATAAATACATCGCCTATTAGAATTTTTATTCCCTTTTTATTTATTTATTATTTTTTATATTAGCGTTGATTTCGGTAATGAAAGCCCATTGGGCTTGGTCCGAAAAATCTGGGTTCAGTTGTTAACATGAAACAACAGATCCTAGCTTTGGGCCCTTGTGAAAAGATATGAAATGGATCATAAAATTGGGTACCCTCTTAAGTCTTAAGTTCGAACTATTTCAGAATTACAAACATACCCTTAAGTTTATCTTAATTTCGAAAGTGACCCCTGAAAGTTTGCAATATAAAAATGAAAGATGTAAGAGAAGCATCCAAGGTAGTCCTTAGTCATTACACACCACAATGAAAGGATATACACAATCGATACATACATGTGGTGGCTGGTGCCCATCCAACAAAAAGTTTTGGTTGAATATTTTTCATTTTGACCCCACTAATCCCACCCCCAAACTATTTATGTCCCACTTTCTCACACACGCCTCAAAAGTTGAGTCAAGCATGATATTGTTTTTTATAGGAAAAAAATTAGTTTTTGTCCCTTTAGTTTGCACCAATTTCACATTTGGTCCCTCATGTTCACAAAAAACAAATTTAATCCCTTATGTTTAGAAAAATCAATATTTTAAAGCTAAAACTAACGGAATCAAGTGTGTGCCGATCATTGCTTTAACTAATGTAATAACGATAAATTGACGAAAATGACCAAAAGTGTTCAATTATTGGAACATGAGGGACCAAATATGAAATTAGTGTAAACTTGAGGGGGCGAAAACTGTAATTTCCCCATTACATATATATATATATATATATATATATATATATATATATATATATATATATATATATATATATATATATATATATATATACAACTCATTTATATGTGATGGTCAAAATTATTTTCATAAACTTCTGAATGAAATTCAAGAATATAATATAATCTTGAATTATGAATATGGAGTAATTAATTAATTAATTCTTGTATTTGAAACTATCATTTTTCACTTAATTAATTTTCTTTTTTGCATGCACATGAGAGTAGTAATTAATTCCTTTGTGGCCACATGAAAAAAACCCACCAAAATCCAAACAATAATTCTCTTACACATTGAAGAAAGTCACTTTCTCCCAAACCCAAATCTCCAGAAATCAATGCTTCTTCCCCTTTCACCAGCTCGGCTCTCATCTTCCTCCCCAAAAACAAAACAAAAAAGACAGTTGCCATTTTCCAACGGTTTCTCTCTCCAAACAACAAAGTTAAATATTTTCTCTCTCCAAACAAGAAATTAAACTCAAAAAAAAAAAAAAAAAAAAAAATGGGATCTTGGGAGCAGTTCGGAGAAATCGCTAATGTAGTACAACTAAGCGGTCTGAACGCAATATCATTAATAGGTTTGATAGTGAAGGCGGCGAGCACTGCAAGAATGCACAAGCAGAACTGCAGGCAATTCGCGCAGCACGTTAAAATGATTGGGAATTTGCTTGAGCAGCTCAAGATTACTGAGTTGAAGAGATACCCTGAAACTCGGGAGCCATTGGAGCATCTCGAAGATGCTTTGAGAAGGGCTTATCTTCTTGTCAACAGCTGTCAAGAAAGAAGCTATCTTTATTTAATGGCTATGGGTTGGAATATTGTCTATCAGTTTAGAAGAGCTCAAGAAGAAATTGATCGCTATTTAAGGATTATTCCTCTTATTGCCCTTATTGATAATGCCAGGGTTAAGGTAATTTTACAGTTTATTAATTAAGACAATATTTTTTTTAAAAAAAATTTATAATTTTTTTTATAACTTTTTTAATTTTAAAAAAAAAAAATTATTATTTTTTAAATTTTTTGTTTTAATTTTTTTTAAATTTTTTATAATTTTTATAGTTTTTTTATAATTTTTGTAACTTTTTTAATTTCACATATTAAAGTTATAAAAAAGTGAAAGGGGGCACTAATTAAGGTAGATTATTAGTGATTCTTGAGATGCCTAGTTTTTTTTATCATGTCTTGAATTGTAATTGTGTGGAATATTCATTAAGGCCGTGTTTGGTTGCTAAGATAAGATTAGTCGAAGTAAGATCAAATAATGTTAAGGGATGTGGTGTGCATTTTGCTACTACAAATGTCTACTATTATTAATCAATTGATGAATTAATTATATTAATTATTCAGGAGAGGGTAGAAGAGATTCAAAGGGATCAGCGTGAATACACGTTAGACGAAGACGACAGAAAATTGCAAGTCGCCATTTCCGAGAGCGACACAACAATGTTGAAGAAGAGCATTTCTTGCACTTACCCGAATTTGCCTTTCGACAAAGCATTAGAGAAAGAGCACGAAAAGCTCAAGAAAGAGCTTCAGAATTCACAAGCTAATATGGACGTTGGTCAATGCCAAGTCATCGAACGTTTGATCGAAGTTACTGAAATTGCTGCAAATTCCGTTACGGAGAAAGATTCGCCCCGCAAAAGTAGTCCGCAAAGGGAACACTTTTCTAGCAAGAATAATAATAATATATGTAGAGAAACCACAATAAATACGGCATCAATGAAGGAAACAATTTGGCAAGACGAGTGGCATTCGGATTTACTCGGCTGCTGTTCCGACCCTTACTTGTGTGCGTTCCCTTTTTCAGACACCACCTTAATTTGATCGCATTATTTCGTTAGAGCATGGAATTTAAATTTGTTTTTAAGTATGTAATGACAGGTTTAAAGACCTTCTTTTGTCCTTGTGACACAATTTCAAAGATAGCATCAGTGGCAACAGGAAATGAAATAAGTGAGTGTATATATATATATATATATATATATATATATATATATATATATATATATATATATATATATAGATATTAGTTCTTGATGCAAGTGCAATTGCGAAAAGAAACTAATGCATAGTGTTTACCGTGACAGCTTCAGCAGAGACGTGTAATGAAATAATGGCGTACACATTGATACTCGGATGTTGTTGCTATACGTGTTGTATAAGAAAAAAGCTTCGGAGGAGACTTGACATCAAGGTACTCTTCAAAACTACGAAACTACGTTTGTCTATTCTTGGAATATATGTTCGAATATTCACGTACATAATATTTTGCGATTATGTTGCAGGGTGGCATATTTGATGATTTCTTGTCACACTTTATGTGTTGTTGCTGTGCGCTCGTTCAAGAATGGAGGGAAGTGGAGATACGCGGTACTAATTCCTATTTTTTACCAAAATGCAAAAAAAATAAAATGATTTACGATTACATACAGAGGATGTTTTAGCTAAATTAAAGTGTACTAATATTTTGCAATTAAATTTGTATCTACAGGTCAGCATAAGACAAGGATTAGCCCTCCACCATCTCAACAAATGGAGTTTTGAAGGGTGTTTTTGTAAGAATATAGATTGTTCTTCGCAGCATAATGTTGGTTGTGTATATTTATAGTACAGTATTCACAATACTTACTTGCAGACTGAAGTGTATCTATAATCCATGCAATCACAAATATGCATTCTTCAATACGATTTGTTGTATTGAAAAGCTTTGAATTTGTCCCCCAGAAATTCTCGCAATATCGAATTTTTCTTGCATGAAAACCACAAAAATATTAGGGATTCCATCAGCATTGGACAGCAAAAGTTTAGGATAAGCTCATTGTACAGAGCCACAGATTTCTTATTGATCAATGTCTTATAAATCCAAAGTACTTTTCACATACCAATTCTAAAACAAGAAACAAAATCCAAGAAACCCCATGAATCCGAAGGCTCATTACATGAAAATGAAAATGAAAATGAAAATGAAAATGAAAATGAAAATGAAAAATCCACTGGTGATAATAAACGAAAGCAGAAATCCAATTCAAATTTAATCCCATATATATGGAGGGGAAAAAGGGTTAAAAGTTGCAAACTACTCCTGCAAAGTTTTCTTAGCAGCATCTTCTTCAGCTTTCATCTTCTGCTCCCACTTTCTCTTCTTATAGTCGGCCAACATCTGTGGCATACCTTCCATGAGTTCTTTAGTACGTTCTCGTTTCTCAGCAGCTAATCGGTCAACCTTATGACCTTTCCTCTTGGTCTTCATCTCCTTCCTCGCTGGATCATATTCCCAATCAGCTCCAGATAAAAGGACTTCCTTACGGAGCCGAGCTCTATGGCGTGCACTGATTGAAAGAGGCTTCCATGCTCCAAGCTCCCAGTAACCCCATACACCCTTTGACAGCTCATCCTTGTACTTTGCTAACTTCTCTTGCCATGGATATTGGTATCCTCCCACTGCTTTTGCAACAGATTTTACTGCTTTTCCAGCCATAGCTGAGACTGTATTTTGAAAGATTGTGTAAGTGGGTATTTGTATCTTGAAGAATGTAGAAACGGAACGAGCAAATGAGACGGTCTAAAACAGATGGAGTTTGGGAAAATGCTCAAAACCTTCAAACAATTTACTGTTTCTCTTTCAGACATTTCATCAAACAGCTTAACTACAGACCTTAGCTTACACACGGAAGTCTTCGATTACAGTAATAACAGCTTAACTACAGACCTTAGCTTACACACGGACATCTTCGATTACAGTAATGATTTTTCCGGACCATGCAATACATAGGATTTTAGAGATGAGGAATAAGTGAAATAGACAGTCTAAAACAGATAGATTTGGGGAAATGCTCAACACCTTCAAACTATTTACTGTTTCTCTCGCAGGCATTTCAACAAACACCTTAACTACAGCCCATAGCACACGCAAATTTTAAACTACAATAATGTTTTTTTAGGATCATGCTATACGGAGGATTCAGAGATAAGGAATAAGCAAATTGAAACCTACAGTCTGTTCCTTGTTCAGCAAAAAATTAACACTGAAGGAATATATGTATCTAAACAGCGCCATTCTCTCATAATTACGAAATTTCTATGACAACTCGGAGATCTTCGAAAAGATAAACACGAAAATGAACATCAAATTTAATTAGATTTATCGAGGGAAAACGAAAGATTAGCAGAAAAAAAAAACTGACCTTTAAATAGCGAGTTTCTTGAGGAAGATTGAGATTTGAGCTGAGCAGGAGCGTTCTTGAATAGAATTGGAGAATAAAATTGCAATGCGGGGTAAACTTATTGCCACGTGTACCTAGGGTTCTATGTATTAGTGTTTCCTAATTTTCTATTTGAGTTTTTTTTTTCCATTTTGTAATTATTTTTATATTAATGAAATGATCATCAAGAAATCTATGATTAAAATTTAAAATTAAGTATATGTAATTACAAAATTATTATATACAATTGGATTAATTTCGTTACGGGAAATGCTAAAAGTATGTAAATGACATTTTGCGAAGGATTTATGTAAATAGGTGTTACGAACCACCTATTTTAAATTATATTTTATATGCACGTTACAAAATCACTTGTGAATATTTCTTTACGCTTTTAATTTTTTACTTTATTATTATTTTGAATTCGGTAATTTCATAATCGGCCTAAACATGCATATTCGGAAGAACAATATTTGGGCGAAAATTTACATCTGCAAACACAAAATTGCCCATGACAATGACAAAATAAATTATCTTACACAAACTATAAATATCATTCAAGATCATCAATTGAAAATATATTTATAAAAAAAAAAAAAAAAAAAAATGGTAAAAATATTCAAAAATGGACAAATATTCGAAAGGCAGTTAAAGTATTTAACCAAAAAAACATGAGGAGCTCAGCTCACTCCCAAGTTAGGGCAACTCATCAATTGTCGCGTTTACACAATGCCCCGCAATAGTATACTAAGACACGACACCCTTCCGAGAAATCATCATCAGTATTAGTACAAAAAAACAACCGTCGATCCATAGTATAAATTAAAATTCGCCAGCTAGGTTGAATATCCTCGCGTTCCTCCTCCAACTCCTCTTTACTTCCATAAATCAAAACTCGTTTATCTTCACTCTCCTCAAACTATGCTTCACTCTCCTCAAACTGCATACACAGAAAACACTGTTAAGTCAAAAATAAAATAAAATAAACTGCATTTGGGAACACAACTGAACAAACCTACCTTTTCGAACGTTCAAAACTTTCTTGACATGGTAAAGTCATACACTATCGGGATGAATTTCTTCTTGAGTGTCATCTCTTTTAGTCAACACAGACTGATGACCAGTCAACGAACCTGTAGCAGCCATCTCCGCTTGACCTTCACTTGCATTCACGTCGCCATTTTCACCGTCGTTCAGTGAAACCGCAGCTAAGGAGGCTGCCACTGTACTTTCAGATGTAGAAGTTGAGGCGTATGCCTCAGAATCAGGATTAGGCCCTCTATATAAGGGTAACCATCTTTTCCACTCGTTACGCCTCCTCACTTTGTCTCCCTGCAAATAAAAAAATAAAAAAAATACAAATATTGAATATTATAATAATTTTGGTGCCAAAATAAAATAAAAGCTTGGAAGATAAAATCAATAGAGAGTTACGAGAGTAGAAATGAAGAGCTGACCTGTACTTCCACAATCGCGGAACTTCTCATTGACTCCAAAATTAGTGGGATATCATTTGTCAACAGCGTAACCTAAAAAGGCAAACACGAATACATGACACCGGTCCATACAATAAAGTAATAGGAATTTTATAATCAGATTAAAGGCCCTTCAAACTTGCTCAGTTAATGCAGCAGACATCCAAGATACGATCAGATTTACACGATGCTATTGTCAAGAACAAGTACGGCAATCTAATTAAAGCAAAAGGAGAAAAATTCAATAATTTAATGCAGTCCATTTAAATAAACCAAATTAGGATTGAAAAAAACTCGGGATGATGGTTAATATAGAAAAACAGATGTGGTCAAGAAAGTTTCTCTATTAAGTTATTTTATCAAACTTTCATACAAGTGTAGATTTCCTTCTATTAGATAATCCTTTAAAGAAGAATCTGTATAATGGCATCTTCAATTAAAACATGCTACATTGAGAAGAACAAACTACAGATGCCAATAAGCATAATTGTTGATGCAACCAATACCAGCAGAAGTATGCAATATTATAAAATCAACGATATGCTTATGCTTTTAGATAAAATGCAAAGTTTGTTAACATTATACATTCAGGTATAATTTTCAAGCGTCGCAAATTATGAACACATAGAAGTTATCTAAATTAATTTTTTTAACCCAGGAGATACATCAATAAACCATAAGAAGCACAAAATTGAGTCCGTCGATAAAAATCCACGTTGAGTTAAATATGTGCAATGAACCATTATCCAGAAACAAATTCCGAATATCTTATTGTGATAGCATCAGATCATAAATCATAAAAGCACGAATTCAACAGCAACTTACTTTCCGAAAGGCAGCTATCAAAGTAATAGGCACCCAGCCCTGATCATCCATCTTTGACCTCAAAAAGTTATCCTTCACCAAATTTGCATCGCTGGGACAAGATAATTACTTCCTTCAGCATAACAGAGCAGATAAAGAAAAATACAAGCAGGACTTAGCTCTTGAGAGCAACTCTTTCAAAAAAGATTACCTGAAATAGAAGTCTATTTGTCTAACAATTTTACTTTCTAAAGGTTCTTCTTCATTAGCAGGAGGTAAGAACATAGGTGGCAGTGGAGGACCAATTGGCATCCTAAAAGGCTCAGGAGACATCGCTGGAACATACATATAAGGAGACACCATATCTGAAACTACACAACATTTCTTAGAAAGCCCGAATAAAGCCTAAATAGTCAAATTCTAGAACAGTAGTAGTAAAATTCAACAGGCTCACCAAACCCCATTGGTGCAGGGAAAAGTCTCATAGGTGGGGGTGCCATAAAGGGGCCGGCGCCAGGTGGCAGTGGAGGTGGCATGTACCCTCCGGGGAGAGGGGTCATAAACGGAGGGGGATGATGAACATCTCTACGATCTTGATCGCGTCTGCCTCCTCCATGGTTGTTGTGGTAGGGCCCATCTCCACGAGGGCGGGGCCCGTAATTATTCCTCCTCGAATTATTCCTCGGAGAAGAATGGTCATTACCAGTGTGCGACTGAGAACCACCAACTCCACCGACAGGTCTTGCCCCTCTCAGGGAAGTATCCAACACAGGTGGAACCATACCGTAAGGTGCTTCGAAAACAGGATATGGTGGCGGCATTGGAAGAGATGGCGGCTGATTGAAGGAATTCTGAGACGGTCCACTTACTGAGTTGCTACCTCCACCACCACCACCACCACCACCTCCGTTGCGATTCCTTGACCTTGGCCTTGGATTGCTTCCAGCATGATTAGCATGGACATTGTTATTAGCAGGTCTCTGAGGAGGTTGAGATATTATAGGAGCCTGTAAAACCAAACAAAAATAAAGATGTTAGAGGCAACTTTCCAGTCATTCTCAATGATTAATAATAGGCCTTGCAATCATTAGATGGATGTAAAACAGAAGTGATATAGTTAAAGTTTACATGCCCCTGATTAAAAGATAAAAAAGGCTGCAAAAACAGATAACAAGTCCACTCAGAAGCGGAAAACAACTTCTTTAATGAGTTTAAAACGGTCACACGCAGAAGAAATAACAATTTGCCAAGGGCTACATGCAGCATAATGGCAGGCTGTGTATCTTTATGTATGTACCAAAAGGGAATTTATGGCTAAATTTCAATCTTTAGACTATTAAATATGAATAACTTGGCAGCAATGTTGACACAAAAAATAACAAAGAATACGAAAAAATACTTCTTACATCTTTAAAGAGTTTAAAATAGTTACAATTTTTTAAGGGGTACATACAGCATAAAGCCGGCTGTGTTTTTATACTTATATATACTAAAAAGAAATTCATTGTAAAACTTCAATCTATATCATTAGACCAATAAAAAGAATAACTTAGCAGCAATGCTGGCACAAATAATATGAAAATCACTTCTTTATATCTTTAAAGAGATTGCAATACTTGCACGAACAAGAAGGAATCACTGTAAAACTTCGATTTTTAGACTATTTAAAGAATAGAGCCACCAAATATACCAAATCATAAGAACTGCAAGTATAGCCACAAAGTCACACAAATAAACCAGATCAGTTATATTATATACATATAATAACCTGCGATGAAGACACTAATCCATCTGAAACGGGTCTGGGTGTATCCGATGACGATCTCGGACCGGCTCGGGCGGTTTCAGAGAGAGCTGGCCAGGAAACATCCCCACCCATAACGGAAACAGGCTCAACAACGCCGTTTACTGGCCTGTTCCAAGCAGGCCTCCTCGGTGGACCAGCATTACTACTGCCGTTAACATCAGAGCTCTCGGGCTGGGCTTCCAAGCCCGAACTTTCATTTGGAGCAGAAACCTGTTCCGCCGGCGGAGACGAAGAAGACCCAGGAGCGACGGTAGGGGAAGCGGAAGCGGCGGCGGCGGCGGCGGTAGGAGAGGAGGTTTGCTCGGTATCTCCGCGAACGACGGAGGCCCACGGAGCAGGGAGGCTCCGGCGGAGCGACTGAGGACTGTTAACCCCTCCGCCGTTGGAGGCGACGTCTGCGGTAGTGATTGCAGAGTTGTCCGTCACCATCCTAGGGTAAGAACCAAAAATCTATACAGAAAACAAAAACCTGAGCAATTGAATTTTTTTTTTTCTTTATGTGAAAACCTAAATGTGTCTTCGGTGAAAACACCGATAAATACTGGTGGAATTAGACGGATTAATTGAAAGAAAAATAATGTATGTTGAAGGGGTGATCGGAGGATAAATTAGGGTTTCGGCCGTCAAACAACAGCGATCAAAACTTTGTTTCTCTCTCCTCTCCTCTCTCTCTCTCTAAAGTAGCACAGAGTATGTATTTTAGTGTGTGTTGTGAATATTGAAAGTGCTGACTGACTCTATACCGGTGCTAAGGAGACCGATTATTTATATATATTGAGTACTATATTAATATATAAAATTAAAAATAAAATAAAATTTGTAAAATATAATAGTTGAAAAATAAAAAAATCATACCAATGCACAACTGTATCCAAATTAGTAGCCTAGTTTGTTTAGAATTCTATTTACTAGTTGCTAAATATAAATTTAAATCTTGTGAAAAAATATAATATATTTATATTAAACTGAGGAATATATTCCAATATACGAAAGATATTTTGTATTTATACATAGTAAAATACGGAAATATTCATCAATAATTAGCCTTGGATTCCAAACATCATTGCGTATTATTAATCTATTTTATAGTAGTTTCCTTCTAATTAATCACACTTAATTGGTCTTGTGAATATTTTAATTAAATTTCCTTGTTTAATTAGTTATGGGCTGTGTTATATATGTGGTTCTTTCTTACTTGGTAATTGGGCCGCCACATCTGAATTGGCCCGGCCCGTTCTTCCTTTCAACTACGTGTTTGGTTTTCTAATTTTTCATGCCATTTGTCACATCAACCAAAATAAAACAATTATTTATCTGAGCTCGTTACACATAAATCATAATTAATTTAATTTGTTTTATATCTCTAGTATGATTTGTGGGCGATGTTTTTTCTCAAAATTAATAGTAATTAATATACTTAATTGTAATTTTTAACATCTTCTCAAAATTAATAATAATTAATATATTTAATTGTAATTTTATGCTGACGAGTAATTAAGAATTAAACTCAAAATCAGAAGGAATTGTTTATAGAATTATAATTTTAATTTAATGTTAAAACAGGGGAAATGCATGCACGTGGCACACATCTCCTAGACATAAAACACGTGATGTAACAAACTTAATAATAGTCCAAAAAGAAGACAAAATCCCCCAGCCTCAAAATTTCAGACTAGTCTATCCGGTTCAGAATACTGTGTTTTGTATCATAAGTCATAACTAACTCATTTTCTTTTTATTCAGATCAATTTTATATTATTATGTAAATATTGATTTGATGTAAATCAATAAAATATTATATTAATTATCAAAAGAAAAAAATTATACTTGTATATTACATTATTAATTTAAATTGGAAAATAGTGTGCACATTATTTGGATTGAAGTCCCGGCTTTTTCTCAGATTCTCAACTACTAATCTTTTATTCCCCACTATGCCACGTGGATAAACCACGTTCTTTTAATATTGGGGAAATATGCAATAGCCCCCTCAAATGGAAAATATTTTGAACTAAACCCAATTGACTATTAAAGACTTTTGCCTACACCCAAGTTTCATTCTTAATTAGTGAGACACCCCTAACCATACTTGATAAGACTAAAGTGCCCTTATGTGATTAGGTTTTTAACGTGATATAATTTATTTCACTCTTTCACTCCCCCTCTCTCTTTCACGTTCTCAATCTCTTCTCATCTCCTCTTTTTTTTTTTTTTTGGACCTGAGACTGGAGAATATTGTTCCGATTAGAAGATCCGATCACCGAAAATTGGATCACTGTTTTTTTTCCTAATCTTATTGTCTATATGTATATGTAACTGTGTGTATACTTTTGAAGGTGTGAATTAAAGTTAACGGTGTTTGTGCTTATTTATGTATTGCATAAATAAGTGCTCTAAAAATCCACGTGGAAGAGGAGCTCTGTGCATGGTGTTGAAGAAGAGTTGCGTGAAAAATATCAGAAATTGTTTGGAATTGGTTTTTTTTTTTTTTTTTTTTTTTTTTTTAATTTAGCCTATGGATTATAATATTTGGTTCGCAATTTACGAACGTTTGTTTTGTTCGGAGCAAAATGTATGGGGTTTGTGTCGTCCGAGTTGTATCTGATTTCATTTTATTTCGATTTACAGAGTAGTCACATAATAGTCATATTCTCACTGTTCTGTTAATAATTATGACTATTGTTGATTCACTCGATTAGTGATTTTATGAATTTCTTGTTTGTTCCCCACTCTCTCTTTCACTCACCGTCGTTGTCGTCGCATCCCCCTCCTTCTCTTTCGTTATTTTCGATTTTTTGTTCTCCAGATCTGGAGCAGAAGCATCAACGTGACTATAGTCTGGTTCGAATATGACTATTGCTGATTCACTCGGTTAGTGATTTATTAATTTCTCGTGTTCGTTGTCTCTATCGATTTCTCTCTCGTTACACCACCATCGTCTCCACATATAGATTTGTACACCACCACCACCGTCGCCGCTCGTTACCGCCGCCTCATCCTTTGTTTCCATGTAAGCTTTTTCTCTATTTTTCGTTATCTTTCTCGTT